AAATATGTTTAGTTATGAATATTCCATAAATTTAATTCTGCCTCCTTTTTTAACAGGAAAACCAAATTTAAAACTATTACACGAACAATCATCCAAAAAACACTTCCTCATTTTAAAAACAATCAGTAACAAAAAAGCCATTTTATCAATGTCTTACTCATTGTCGACACCAAGTCAATTACTCATTATATTGTACGAATTAATTACCTATTGTTATCGACACTTTCACAGATTATACGATAAACACATCCAAAACAATATTCCAGCAAACACTTTTAAAAGTGAAAATATTAAAAAAAAAATTATCGTTTAGTTGTTCATTCACTTTATTCCAACATATATAAATCTAAACTATTTAGAAATGGCATTAAAACAAGATTCAAGCTATTTAATCAACAGAGCATAAACAGATGCACAAAATAGCAGGTGTCCCCTTCGTGCAACAATGGATTTCTGAATGATATAGACAAAAATTCAAAACAAACATGATTATTTAAAGTATAATAGATTCTAATTTATGGAATATATTAGGAAGAGTTTATCAAAGTTTATTGTTTTGGTTGCTAAACATGATTTATAAAGTCATTTAACTTTACTCGATTACATTTTTATGAATATTTTTATAGATAAAAAAAATTATTTTCGTGAATTATATACAAGACAATTCATCTTTTGATTAATTTATCTCTTGAGTGTTGACATCATTTATATCCAGAAAAAGAAACAGTACTTAATTACATTTAATTATAAACTCAAAATCAAGACTACAAATTAACTTCATAATAAAAAAAATATGTAAAATAACCTAGTACAGTAAATAACACTATAAATTTTTATATACAAAACAATATTCAAACTATGTTTTACACTATAAAAACTGTTAAAAGTTGCAAAATGTAAGAATTTTTGTAATGCTTTTTTTTTAAATAAATCAATGTAACCAACTAGAACAAGCAAAATACTAGAGAAACATCATGTTTTGTAACAAATCCATTAAAACTTAACCTAATGTTCAAATCAAACTTATTAAACAATAAATACCAATTCGAAAATAAGTTAAAATTAAAAAAAATAACAACAACTCAGCTAATCAAATATTCCTGAAAAATATAATTTAAAAAAATTGAACTTATTTACTATAAAGATTATAGAATTTTCTAGAATGTACTTATCAGTTATTGTTTGCTACAGAGTAACTGCAGAAATTCTAGAAATTGGTTTCTTTCTTGTTTTTATCGAAACAAATCTATATTTTGGTATTTTACGAAAAAATATGGTGAAAAGATGATCTACAAACCTTTTACGTAGTCAACCGTTAAACAATTGAAGGCAATTTACTGTATTAGAAACTTTTGTTATAGTATGGACGGTTCCTTTGCACTTTACATACAAAGACAAAGGAGTCAAACCAGTAAATGACGTTAAATAATTAAGCAAACGAGCCATTTTGACCAATAAATATCATAAAGACACTCGAAAACTATTTTTAACAATTGAGTAATTAAAGATAAGTTTAATAGTCGAACAGTTTCTAAAACAATCCACTTACCTGAAAAAAGGATCATTGTCAAAATCTCTCATCATCGAACGAAAGAGCGACATTATATTCGGTAATTAAGATTTCCTCCGACTTATTGATTAAAAACTACACACGACCTAACTAAATTGTCTCTTAACGATTGATATGGCGACTCTTTTACTTATCAATCTAAACGCTAGAGGCGCGGTTTGCTGCATAGACGCTAAAATTTCGGTTTTTGTTTGTTTGTACTTTTGTTTTTGTTTTTTTATTAATAAACTTAAAATTTATTAAATTTAATTTATTTTTAATTATATTTTAATATTTTTAACTGTTTATTTTGTTTTTGACAAAAATATTAAAATAATAAATATAGTTAGAGAATTTCCTAGATTTTTCTAGAAACACGTATATGTGTTTCTAGAAAATNCTATGTTTTACATATAAATTCTTCCTAACAAAAATTTGTTTTGTATTTGAGATAAAATCAGAATTCATTTCCTGAATCCTAAACTCCGATATGAATATTTAATTTTTCGATCTTACTAATTTTAATATCAAATTACGTTTTTGTTTGAAAAACTTAAAATTGTGATTTTTATCTGCACAAAGACACATAAGAAAATAACATATTCGTTCATTTCAGTATATTTTTTCAATTAAATATTGCCCATGATGGTGACCGAATAGGCGAAACGGTTAAGGCCTCTGCAGGAACCTTAGACGTTTTTTGTGTGAGGTTTGTCTCGAATATTTCAGTGAAACAAGTATTCCTGATCATCCCGCCACCCCATTGTGGGCTTGTCCGAACTCTTGATGAATATGATTATTTAAAGACGACGTCAGAATGGTTAACATCTGCTCAGAAACAGCGAATTTTGAAGTTTCTTGTAAAAGAAAATGCCAGAAGCATAGAAATTCATTACGAATTTTTACCAGTGTTTAGAAACAGCGCTATAGCCGACATATTTGTGTTTAAATAGTGCAGTCACTTCCATAGAGACCACGAGTTCGTTGAAGATATCTTCACCTACACCGATCCGTGTCATCGCTGCAAGCACAATATGCAATGTTGATGAGCTAATTTTGAACAATCGTCCAGCCACTATGTTCTCATGGAGACTTGGCGCACTCAAGCTGCACTCTGTACTGGAATCGGTAAAACTTCTATAGATATTCACAATTTATCACAAGCTATCATACACAAGAAAAGATCGGAAATGTCAAGCAAAGATATCCTCTTGTTGCAGAATAACAGCATACAGTTATGAAAACTAGGGAGGATTTTGCCAACATAAAATGTTGCTTTATTCTCTATATTCCGGACTTGTTATCAAGTAACTATCCTCGGCCTAGTTTTCTGAAATAATATCTTGGCAGAGAGAAGTTTGAAAATGATTATGAAGTAATAGCTACAGTCCTTCAATAGTTCCTGATCAACTAAAAGAATCCTTTGCTACTGGAATACTAAAGCTAACGGCCACATAAAAAACTATTTAAAATGACAAGAACTTTTTAAAAAGAAGATAGTGTATGTAATCACTGTCTGTGTATACTATTTGTGAAGTATTAAAATCAGTTCGCATATTCGTTGGACAATCATCATAGTTTCTATCAACAACAGGTCAAATTAGTAAAATACTAAAAAGTTTCAATTTTACTATTTTATAAAATGTTGGCACATTTTAGTTAAAAGTAAAACTTTTAAAATTGTTTTAACCTAAAATAAGACGAAACCAATATTAAAATATGAAATAAATAATTTATGAAGAAAAACAGGACCATGAATACGGCCACCAGAGGGATTTTGCTGTTGGCAAGACATGTTAACATTCGCTCTGAAAGTAAAAACGAGAGAATAATTTAAAATAATTATGTACACTTTATTGATATTGTAAATATAAAATAAAAATAATAGATAATTATATAGTAAACGGTTTTGTAATTTTAAAATGTGTTCATTAGGTAGATTTGGGTAAGTAAAAGATTTTTTATGAAAATGTTTTGGTAATTATGAATTTAGGCAAATGAGTTAATCATCTAATTATATATGTGTGATCGAGACTATTTTAACGTTTGACTCCTTTAGGATAATGAAGGATAATGCATCATTGGGTTTTCGGTTAATGTAGCAAATTGTATATAAATAATACGGTACTATCGGAGGAATACTGCTGAAATTAAAGCCAACAACTTATTATTTATTCACATTATTACTGCAAATCGGTGTGAATTACGTGCTGTGACTTTATAAACTATTAATAGTTATTTCAGTATTTGTTTTATACAGGATTTCTGTTAACAGAACATCAGATGATAGACCAATCTGTTTAAATAAGCAGTGTAGACAGCATTTTTAGAACATCAGACTGCCTAAGGGAGCACTATTCTAAGGAAGATTTCTAAGGCTGTATCTTTAATCTTATATTACATCACCATCCGTGGCAAGTGGTGAAGATTTGGTCAAATCTTCCATTGATCAGTTTTCTAATACACAGAGTCAAAAGATTTCTTACAGAATTATAATGAACAGGTATCAAAACTTTTGTAACAGCATTTGTTAGGATCAGTATTTTACAAAGAGAAATACTCGACAGTGTCTACAGATGGTGTTAAAATCAAATGGAGTTTTCATTTTTTCCGTATATATGAGAAATGTTGAGCAAAAAATTTTTTTCATTATATCACCATAAAGACTTGCCTATGCTAACAGGGAGGTTAATAATGAGACACTACAGGTTCAGGCTAAATGCAAGACATTTTTGTATAAAACATTGCTCTATGATATTTAGTTTCCAAGATATGTAGTTTTTTAAAATTATTTCTTGTACAGCTTATTTTCTTGACCATTTTCTCATAAAATTTTTTAATTGAAGTAAGTAGATATGATTAAATATTCATTATTGAAAATTACTCTGTAGTTGTGTACAATATAAAAGTGTAAAATAAAACATTTTATAGAAAGGCCTAGGCCTAAATTCACACCTATAAGAACAAAGAAATATTTTTACTATGATACAGCACAACTAAAGTAACTTAAATAAAAAAGTTTCATGGAAATTGATGACTGATTAATAAAATCTGGTCTCTCATTTTTTATCTATAGTGTGTGTCATTTTTTATCTCATTTTGAAAAACACAAAACTCAGACAAAAGATGATATATGCAATAAAAACAACTAGCAGCTGAAAGCTGCATTTATATACTACATACAAATTTCTATCTTTTGCAGACATATACAGAGCTAAAGTTAGTTGAACTCACAGAAAGTTTTTGTACCTATTTTTGTAGTGTTTCTTAAAAATTAAAAATACTCAATGAAACCCTAGTCATTCAAAAAAGTTCAATGTTAAAAATTCAAATTTTCATTCAAAAAAGTTATATGTTAAAAAGCACTAAATAAACTTTATTTTGTATTAGTACAGGATAAATCAGACATAGATTAAGTCAAATTTTACAACTGTCATATTTTCCCATTTTTTGGACTGTCTCATATTTATCCACATTGATCCTACATACAAAAATATAACATATATGTGAACAAACAATGCAGGTCACATCTACTTGCATTGTCATCTTGAGTGGATAAGGAAAAAAGTGATTAGCAAGTAGATTTTGGAGGTCACATGATCTTACTTTAAGACTACTTTACTTATTTGTTTTTATACTGTAGTTCCTATTAGGAAGCATTTGGAAATTTTGGAGTAATGATAGTATTCACATCTTTTCAGCTAGATCACCTATTGTATTTCTGGGAAGAAGTGAAAGTAATGTGACTAGCAAATATTCTGTATTTATTGATCATTTGATAAAACAATAAAATTGATGGTATATAGGGATAGGGATCCAAGGCAGACTACAGGGGCTTAAATCCTCCTCATTGACACAAAAAAAAGTAAAATATATTTGTTTAAACTTCAAATCATTTCTTCTAAAAACATTTATGATGGCAAATATGGTATATCAGAGCATTTGCATTACAATAATCATGCATATGTTAATAAAAGGTGTTTATTAATTATTCAAATACTTTTAATTTTTGAGCAAGGCTTCCTTTAAGCTCTTCTGAATCCACTACTGATGATATAAGAATGGAAACTATACATGTACAGTAAAATTATGTGATAATGAATTTTAACAATTCCAAGTGTGTTATAAATTATATAGAGGCTCTAAGACATGAAAAAATGAAGATAATCAAATACAGTAGAGCATCAATTATCCGACTCAATTGGGGACTGGGGTTGGTCGATAACCGAAAAGTATGAAAAAATCCATTATTAGTGTAGTATATTATTATATCCCATGTAATTAGTATATTAGTATATCGCTATTAACCTACTTTGCGTTGAATTTTCCTCCATGTTAAGCCTATCAAATTTTTTTAAAAAATAATAATCGTCGCTATTGTATCGTTAAAAATTAGAAAATTAAGCCTCATTTAAATACTGGCTCCCTTTTATGGTTGATCCAGTGTTGCCAGCTAAAACACGTAAAAATAATATTAAAGTAGCCAAGACATAGCCAAATATTGTAGCGCCACATCACTAGCGGACATTTGAATTTGCCGACTAGAACGCGGTCGGTTAACTGAGGTGACAGTTAATCGGGGGTCGGATAATCGATGCTATACTGTAGGGGTGGCCAACTTTTATGTACAGAAGATCTACTTGTTATCTTAAAAATGTGTTGCGATCGACTTGTTGTCGTAGGGTTCGTCTAAGTGACGAGGGGGTGGTGTGAAATACATACTATGTTTAGATAGGTAAGAAAAACCACAATTTATTTAAAACATGAAGAAAAGGTACTTATGTTGTAAACAGAATAAAAATTGAAACTCAACGTTATCACTTTCGGGGACCACTACTTCACCCTTCCTCTTTCTACTGTGTCCCGACTACTCCCTCTGTCCCTCTTCCCACTTTTTTTTTTTGGTTTTACGATCTTTGTCTACATTTCTTATTTCCCTTTTACAACTGTACGCAAATGAATATCACACGGACTGACAAAGCTGCATCTGAGGGAGGACGTGGTGGTCCAATATCACTACATTTGCGTTTGCGCGTTACGTTCGGTTACAAGTGTAACACATTAATTGAAGACATCGCGAGCGATCGACCAAAATTGGCTTCGTGATCGTTGGCCACCCCTGCTATACTGTANCTCAACGTTATCACTTTCGGGGACCACCACTTCACCCTTCCTCTTTCTACCGTGTCCCGACTACTCCCTCTGTCCCTCTTCCCACTTTTTTTTTTTAGTTTTACGATCCTTTGTCTACATTTCTTATTTCCCTTTTACAACTGTACGCAAATGAATATCACACGGACTGACAAAGCCGCATCTGAGGGAGGACGCGGTGGTCCAATATCACTACATTTGCGTTTGCGCGTTACGTTCGGTTACAAGTGTAACACATTAATTGAAGACATCGCGAGCAATCGACCAAAATTGGCTTCGTGATCGTTGGCCACCCCTGCTATACTGTACTGTTAACAACCAACTGTTACTTCAGATAAGGGAGCCTGATACATCAATCCCAAGAGTGTTTTCTTAAGTAGACTTGACTGTAATAAAATAATTATTGTTCTTTGGTTACAATTTATTATTTTAATATCTAATAGAAGTATTTAAATCAGATTTTGTTGCCTCAAAATAATTACCAGTATAATTATATCACTTTCAATAATTAAATAAATGACTGTTGTAAGGAAAAAATATATAGATAATTGTAAAGTGAAGAATTTTCAAGCCAATATCCATTCAATAATATTATATCTTATTACAAATAAAACAATTGTCTGTGCCAGCTTTCATAAACAAATTTAAAGTAATAATTGTGTCAAAAACATTATCACGTGTTCAAATGATTGTAGATTTTTGAAAAAACTTCCAAAACATTCCAACATTCCAATTCATATCCATGTTATAAGGAAACTGTTCTTTATTGGAGTTAATTTTTTAATATTTAAAGTTCAATTTAAAAAAGCATAGTTTTCTTATGTATTTTTGGCACACGATTATTTGAATGTATTGCAGATTCTTAGAAGTGTGCTTTAGTTATATTTCTTATTTTGCATCTTTAAGAATTTGACATAATAATACTGAACATGCACATATAAATGCTTTTTAAATAAATTTGTATAAAAATTTTTTATAATGAAAATAAGGTACTGAAAATATACATGTATGACTGATTATAGTTATAACAAAAGTGGGAAAATTGCTTTTGTCAATTACATTATGTTATTAAATATACATCTTAATGTTACTTAATGTAATATATATATAAATTAAACAGAAAGTTTAACTTGTATGTCTTGAATCTCACAAGTGAGAAAAAAACTCAAGATAAACAGGTTTTGAAATATGGAGGTTCCTACACTAAATAGTAATAGGTTTGATTAGAGGTATGGTATTTTATTAATACAATAGCAAGTACAGTGCACACCTGTATTAGGTATAAATAATACATTTTTGACATACCTTAACAGAAATAGTTTCTGATGCCTGACTTTCTTTAATTAATAAGATGCAAGCAAAACTTGTAGCCAATCAGAGAAAAGCAGCCTTAATTGCAACTATGTACTGTATTGCAAGAGATGTTTCTCAACTACAATTTATGCTATCAAAATGTAGTCACCAACACAAAAAACGTCTTCTAACTGTAACACTGTGTTAAGTAATAACTGTCAACTAAAAAACCTTTATCAGTGTTGTGTTCGTTACAATATTCACTAACATTTTCAACCTCCACCGAGGTCTTCTTCAGGTGCTGACTAAGATGGAGAGATGATCGTGCAGGCGTGGAGATGCCTATTCGAGGAATTCGAACGGGGACAAGCGGAGAGGTGATACGTAATATGTGCAACACTTAAACTCAGATGACATTGTTCTAACGGCCAAGGGGAGACAACACTTAGTCAGCACCTGAAGAAGACCTCAGTGGAGGTCAAAAACATTAGTGAATATTGT